AGAATAAACATGCTTCTAAAGCTCACCCACAAACATTTACAAAAACTAACCATATATTCTGTCACTAAGCAAATCTCATTTCAGGCAAATGAAATAATTTGGACTATTTTCTGACAAGAGTTCACTATAGCTAGAAATCACTAATAAAAACATAACAAAAATCTGTTGCTCTTCAATGTACGGAAATTGAGAAACATTTCTAATTTACACAGGGGTCAGTGAAGGAATTATCATGTATCAAAACTTCATAGATGCAGCTGGGTGCAGTGGCACACGCCTGTGATCCCAGTGGCTTAGGAGGCTGAAGCAGGAGGATTTCAAGTTCAAAGCCAGCCTCAGTAACTTAGTGAGGCCCTGTCTCTAAATAAAGTATATAAAAGAGCTGGGGATGTGGCTGTGGGGTTCAATCCTCAATCCAAAAAAAAAAAAAAAGGGGGGGGTGGGGCTGGGGTTGTGGCTCAGTAGTACAACGCTTGCCTAGTACATGAGAAGCCCTGGGTTCAATCCTCAGCAAAACATTAAAAAAAAAAAGGTTCTGACAACTACAACTAAAATAAATAAATAAATAAATACTTTTGAAAAAGAGGAAAATAGAGGATGCATTAAAATCATTTTATACAGGCAGGAGCATTCATTCCTACAACACAAAAATCTGACAAAGACCGTCTGGCAAGTTACACTACAGGTGGATTCTACCCATGAGCGTAGATACAAAATTCCTACACCTGTTAGCAGGACAATGTAACCCAGTAACAGAAAGTAACCAGCTTAGGGGTCAGGAATACAGCTTTGGTTTACAATGAAATCTGTTAATGTGGTGGTGCTACTATGAAGGGCAGTGTGGCGATTCCCTAAAACCCGAGACTCACCACAGAAGTGCAGCCCCACTCCCAGGCACAGACTAAGGAGACAAAACCCTACCAGGTGCGCTCACAGCAGCACCACCCACAATAGCTGCCAGTGGGAACAGCCCCCAAGCCCATCTGCTGCGCAGTGGACAGATGCGCGGTCCACTCAGTATTAGAGGAGCACAGCACCAACACCTGCCATAATGGGTACCAACCTAGAAGGCACTCTGTTCACAGAAAGGAGTCGAGTAAAGACCACGAGCTGCTGCCTTCCCAGCAACCGGAGGCCGAGCCAGGAGGATGCACGTTCCAGGTCAGCCTGGGCAACTGACAGAAACCCGAGTAAAACCGAAAGATGGGAGGCTGAGGCAGGAGCATGGTAGTGCACCTGGGTTCCATCCCCTGTACCACAAAACCAAAAGTAGGGCTATGTGCTGTGTGATTCCATTTATGTGAAATGTACAGAACACGCAGCTCTAGTTTAGGACTGGGGGGAAAAAGACTGTGGGGAACTGCACCGAGGACAGAATTATTTGGGACGAGGGATAATGGAAATGTTGGTTAGGATGACTATCTCTCCGAATCACTAAAAATCACTCCCTCAACATCTTCAGTGGTGAACTGCATGGGATGTGAACTGTATCTCAATAAAGTGGTTAAAACAACAACAACAAAAAGCTCAAAGCGGGGTGTGGTGGCACATGCCTGTTAATCCCAGTGGCTTGGGAGGCCAAGGCAGGAGGCTAACAAGTTCAAAGCCAGCCTCAGCAACTTAGCGAGGCACTAAGCAACTCAGTGAGACCCTGTCTCTAAATAATATACAAAATAAAGTGCTGGGGGCTAAGTGCCCTCCTCAAAACAAAAACAAAACCAAAAACCTCATTCAAGCTGGGTGTGGTTGTGCATGACTGGGTCCCAGGAGTCAGGAGGCTGAGGCAGAAAGATCACCTGGATGCAGGAACTGAAGACCAGCCTGGATGACATGGTTTACATTTGAGGTGTCCTCCAAAGCTCAAGGGTGAGACAACGCAAGGAAGTTTAAAGGTGAAATGAATAGATGCAAAAGCTTTAGCCCACTCAGTGTCTCCACTTGAATAGATTGGGTGTGACTACAGGCAGGTGGGTGTGGGGAGCCATTGTGAATCGTGGACTGAGTGATGCTGGTGCCATCAGGCAGGAAAGCCTGGCATCAGGAACTCTTCGGTGGGCTGAGAACCCCTGGTTCACACTGCATCCTACCTAGCTCACTGCTCCAGTCTAGCACAGCCCTGGAGATGGGCGTGGCCTAGGAAGAGCCCAACTGGCTGCTCACCCCACCCATATCCTGAGGGGGCCCACACTGAAACCTAGTACCTACCCATCCCCTGGGATCTGTCCGCTATAAATAAAGCAAGCAGGCTCCATCTTTGCTAGAAGCCTACCACTCCAGTCAGCCTAACCCGTTACTGCCCTTGCTCTGAAAAATACATTTCTGGTCTTTCATGTCTATTTGGTGGTTCTACTTTCATGGTTTTTATTTTGCAGCCAGCCCATCCCTCCCATGGGAACCTATCCCCACACCCTCTGGGAAAGCCATGGAGGTGGGGTGTGGCTGCAGGAGGTAGGTCCCTGGGAGTGTGCTCTTGGGGCTTACATCTAGTCTCTGGTGAGCAGAGCTCTCTTGCTGCTTCAGGGTGCCATGTCCTGAGTGGCTCTCCTCTCCACATCCTTTGAAGTTCTGAGCCATGAGGTTCTGCCTCACCTCAGGTCCAGAACAATGGAGTCTGGACTGAATCTCTGAAACCATGAACCCCAACAGATGTTTCCTCCTCTATGTTGTTCTTGTCAGGTCTTTAGTCACAACAATGAAAAAGTTTACTGTGGGGCTGGGAGGTGGCTCAAGTGAGGCCCTGGGTTCGGTTCTTAGCACCACATAAACGTCAAATACAGATACTGTGTCCACCTAAAACTAAAGAAATTAAAAAAAAAAAAAAGTTTACTAATCCATTGGGCAATGGAGCAAGACTCCTTATCAGGAAAAGGAAAAACAAAACAAACATCTCATTCATAATTAAAAGAATTTTTTAAAAACTCCCTAGGAATATAAAAAATCTCCTTGGGCTGGGGATATGCCTCATTTTTAGTGCACTCACCTAGCATGTGTGAGGCCCTGAGTTTTTACAGGCTCTAGCCCTGCAAAATAAATTGATGAACAACAAAAAAAGAATTTCCTTGACCAGATAAAGGGCATGTCCATGAGAAAACGGGAAACAAAAATCTTATTGTCAAAACATTCAAAGTTCTTATTGTGTGATCGGAAATAAGAATGTACAAAAGATTTCTGGTGACCAGAGAAGAAAAGATATCCATTTTAAGCTCACAGAAAAATTAAGATTCTAAAGTATTGTAATTAATGATACTTCCAACATGTATGTGATTCAAACTCATTATCTAAAAGCTGATATCTACAGTTGTATATACCAGTAACAGAAAGTGAAATTGTTATTAGTAGATCCATGAGCTGCAGCACATAATGAAGTGCAAAGCCTGGGAGAAGTCAAAGACATACCTGAGGAACAAAGTAGGAGAGTCGGCCCTGTTGGTTAGCTGCCCAGACTAGGAACTGACTTAGAACAAGCACAGCAATACACAAATGCTCATGAGCAGAGGCGGGAAAAGACCCACAGCAGAGTGACTGTGAGCGCACAGAAAAGGACAGTCATTGCAATCAGTAGTACTGGACACTCATCTGGACACCTTTGTGGAAATGGAAAAACCACACCCAGCTTCACCAGCTGACAACTCTGGGCAAAACGAAGGCTCCAGAAAAAGGGCACAGCCACACAGCTCTGCCAAGGGAAAGGGCTGGGCCCTGGCCTCGGTGGGGGGGCCCTTCCCAAAAGGGCCAGACCAGCACCCAGAGTGGGTGAACGCAAGAGCTTCTGCCCAACCACAGATGCAAGCAAGTGGAGCCGCAGCTGGGAGATGCTGGATCCTATGCCGCTGCGTCAGGATGGCACTCAGCATTTCTTAAACCCTCCACCTGCTACAAAGCAATGAAGAAAGACAACCAGGAAATTGTTTTGAACATTCACAAAAAGAAAAGCAAACAGCAAATAAACTCATGAAAAAACGTTTAACCAAATCAGTGATAACGCAGATACAAATTAAACCACCTAGTAATATGCTCATGCCAACACAAGGGACAGGCTTTGGAGAGGAGCACTATTTGATACGATCACTCTAAAAACAACCTGGCATAACCCTAACACCCCCACGCCTGCTCCTGAGCACTGTACTGTGAGGAGTCCCCCGACCAGGGTTGATGTTGGCGACTGCACCACTCACAAGAGCACGAGAGCATAGCAGGGCCTCAGTGCCTCCCTGAGGTGGCAGGGGGAGCATGCCGGGTCTTGGGAAGGTGCACTACGCACGAATCCGCCAGCGTGCCACCAGGACACACGCCAAGTGAGCCCCCTGATACCGCGACACTAGGTTCCCACTAGGCACGAGGGAACCTCCCGTGTGGAAAGGGGCGTAGGCAGCCACCGGCCGCGGGAGGAGGAGCTCTGAGGAGGGCGGGGCCCGGCGGCCGACCCTAACCCACAGCCACAGCCGGGCTCGCGTGCCCACAGCTCACGAGGGGCCACTTAGGACCTACGACGGCGCACAGGCGACATCACAGCGGCCTGGAGAGTTCAGACCACCTTGGCGCTTCAGTATTTTGCGACGCAATGAAGCGCTGGGGACAGCCGCCAGGCAAACCCGCACGCCCACGCCCGGCCGGCGACGGCGCGGCGCCCAGCAGCCCGCAGCGGCCCGGCACCTCCGCCAGGGGTCGCCTCCACGACCCCGACCGCAGCGGCGACGCCCACCGCCACCGACGAAGACGCTGGCGGCCGAGGCGCAGGCGGGAGGGTCTGGGGGGGGAGGACGGGGTCCAGCGCGGGAGGACGGCGTGCGGGGGAGGACGGGGTCCAGCGGGAGGACGGAGTGCGGGGAAGGATGCGGTCCATCTGTTGGACGGGGTATGGGGGAGGACGGGGTGCGGGGGGACGGGGGAGCTGGCGGAGGGAGGGTCGAGGAAGACGACGGGGAGCAGGCGGCGGCCCCCGGGGGCGAGAGGGCGGGCAGGAGCGGCGCGGGCCGGGCGAGCGCGGCCGGCCGCCTCACCTCGTCCACCGTGCGGCGCGGGAGGTGCAGTGTGCCGAGCAGCAACTTGAGCTTCACGGCCGACGAGAGGCGGTGGAAGCAGAGGCGGATGTTGTCGATGACGGCGGCCGTGAGCAGGGACGCGATGCTGGGCGGCGCCCACAGCTCGTCCGTAGCGCCCAGCTTGTTGTGCAGCCACAGGCCCGTGTCGCTCTCCCGCATGGACGCCATCTTGGGGGCCGCCGCGCGCCCGGGCCGGCATCTTATGAGGACGCCTACGCGCCCCCGGCGAGGACCCCCAACATGGCGGCGCCCACGGGCGCGGGGCGGGGCCTCGGGCGGGCAAGCGAGCGCAGCTGGTGGTGGCCGCGCCTTCGGGCGGCTTCGGGGCGAAGCCCGAGAGTCAGAGTGAYGGGACGACGCGGCGAGGCTCGTCGGCTTCCGTATCGCATCGTGGCGGCCCCGGAAGATGACGTTCTGCTGAGAGGCCGTCGCGCCGCGTGACTGACGGCGCCGGCCGGTGTCTCGCGTTCTGCCTGGCGTCCGCCGGGGGAGGTTGCGCTGGCCGGCTGAGCAGCTTCTGGTGTCTTTCGGAGTGTCCGCCCAGCCGCCCCGCGGGCTCGCGTCGGGTGTTCAGGAACCCTGCGAGCCTGTCGCCGAGCGCAGACTTCCCAGGCCGCCGTGGTCCTGTCAGCCCAGCGATTTGGGAAGCCGAGGCCGGAGGATGGCAGGTTGGAGGCCAGCCTCAGCAGCTTAGCGAGGCCCTGTCTTGAAATGAAAATAGAAGGGGCTGGGGTGCAGCCCGGAGTGGCGCCCCTGGACTGGGCCCCTGCGCCTTGTAAACGGCCGGACTGTCTCGCTCCGTCGGCTCTGGGGAGTGGCGTGGCTCCCAGCCCGCGGCCGGCAGGGCCGCCCTGGGCCTTGGGAAGTGTTGGTCCCCGCCCCACGCCCTGCCCGAGCTACCTGAGGCCCGGGCTCGTGGGGTTTTTTTTTTCTTTCTTTCTTTTAAGTATTTACTTTATTTTGTGAGGTCAGGCAACGGGCGGCGACCAAAAGAGGCAGGTTCTAAAAAGGCCGCTGAAGGAGGCTTTATGGAGACCCACTCCGGGCGGACCGCGGTCAGACCGTCAGRGTTGACAGGATAAGGGTCTGAGAGAAACCGTAGGGCCTCCACAGGGCTGGGATTTTATGGGGCCTTCGGCAGGAAGGGAGGGCTTGGGACAGGAAAAGGGATTTTTAGGGTCCCTTGTCCCACTGGGAACTGGCTGAACTCCAGGATTGGCCAGGAGATCCYGCTGATYGACAGGCGTTTCCGTGGGCGCCTGCTTGACGTTTCTTCCTTTGTTCCTGAGTCCCCGCTGCCCACCTGACAGATTCTATCCCCATCTTTGTGGCCTCTCTGTCTTTGGTAAGTGGAGGTGGACATACAGATAGATGCGACTGCGCATCTCTACGCTGCTCCATTGTCGGTGATGTCCAATTGGAAGTTGGAACTTGGCAATGTGGAACAACTTACACCTTGGAAATCGTGCAAATGCTACAAAGCCAAGGCTGGAGTGCTATTTTTGTTAATTGTTAGATAAAAGAAAGAAAATGTGTGAGGCACTGGGTTCGATCCTCAGCACAAAAGGAATGCCTGTAAACCAACGAGAAAAAGGCAGGAGATCCAGCAGAGAAAAGGGGAAAAGATGAGGCAGTGCACAGAAGCATGCCAGATGCTGGATTCAGGAATCCGAAGAATCTGAATTAAAACAAGATGTTGGGTTGGGAGGTGGCTCAGTGGTGGAGCACTTGCCTAACATACACAAGTCCCTGGGTTCAGTCCACAGCACTGTAAAGAGAGAAAGAAGATGCCCATTATACCCATCAGATTATACAATTAAAAAGTCATCCATCTTGGGGCTGGGGATGTGGCTCAAGCCGTAGCATGCTTGCCTGGCATGCGTGCGGCCCGGGTTCGATCCTCAGCACCACATACCAACAAAGATGTTGTGTCTGCCGAGAACTAAAAAATAAATATTAAAAAATTCTCTCTCTTAAAAAAAAAAAGTCATCGATCTTAAAAACAAAATACGTGAATGTCCAATTGTTCCAATACCATTTGTTGAGAAGACTATCTCCACTGAACTGCTCTTGAACCTTAGCCATCTATTGTCCATGCACGTGTGAGTTCATTTCTGGAGGTTTCTCTCTTGTTATATTCATCTAGCTTTATGCCAATATCACATTGTCTTTTTTTAAAAATACTTTTATTTTATTTATTTTTATGTGGTGCTGAGGATTTAACCAAGTGCCTTGCACAGGCTAGGCAAGCGCTCTACCCCTGAGCCACAATCCCAATGCCCCCACACTGTCTTGATTATGAAAACTTCAGACTAAGTCTTGAAATCAGGCAGTGGTAGTTCTCCAAATTTGTTGTTTTGGTATTTTAGGTCCTCTGCATTTCCATATAAACTTAGAATTGTCTACCAAACACAACAAAAGCTCTTCTGGCATTTTGGCTGGGATTGTGTTGAATCTGTGGATCAGCGGGAATGTAGGGAGAATTGACGTGAGTCTTGTGAATGTGGTATATATGTTTATTTTGGTTCCTTTAAAATCTATCAGTACCATTTTGTATTTTCTATTGGATCAGTCTTGCACATCTTTTGTTTCTAAGGATTTCACTTAGATTGCAAAGGGTGTTTTAAAATTCTAGCTTCTGAGTATCTGTTGCTAGTTTACGGAAACATGGTGGATGTTTGTATGTAGGATTTTGCACCCTGCACCCTTACTAGCCTCACATGTTCTAGTAGTCTTACAAAGAGTTTGGGCCAGAGGCCTGACCAAGGATCCCACAGATCTGGTCTGGGTGCTCACCCCAAACCAAGCAGAAAAGGCAGTGGTGATGCACACAAAGGAGCTTTCATCAGAACAGCTACATTTAGGAGACAGGGACCTGTGTCCTTAGCCCTGATGGTTTGGTTGGGTTGGGTTGGGTTTAGCAGTACTGAGGACCAAACCCAGGGTGCTCTGCCTGTGAGCTGCATTTCCAGCCCTTTTTATTTTTTGAGACAGGGACTTGCAAGTTGCTGGTCATCTTGATCAGGTGAGTTCAGTGTGTCTCAGGATTGGTGGTGGTGGTGGGGTCTTGTCTAAGATTAGAAAGTTGCTTTTGCCTGGAGGCAGTCTTAACTCATCAGATGTTTGTCATACCTGGTTCCTGGAATCCCAGGTAGCTCAGAGGAAATGGGATGGAGGCAAAATGAAGGTAGAGAGGCCAAGCCGTGTGTGTGTGTGTGTGTGTGTGTGTGTGTGTGTGTGTGTGTATGAGTGTATGATTCGCTGCAAGGGATCAAATCCAGGGGCATGCTATCACCTAGCCACATCCTCATCAGCCTTTTTAAGATTTTATTTTGAGGCAGGGTCTCATTATGTTGCCCAGGCTGGCCTTGAATCTGCTATCCTGCTACCTCAGCTACCTGAGTAGCAGGGCTTACAGGTGTAGCCACCCCTCCTGGAACAAGGTCTTTAGGCCTGCCTTTAGCCACCCATCAGACATTTGCAGACCCAGGTGAATCATCAGAGCCCTGTCACAGGCTCTTTTTTGGTAGATCCTGTAGTTTCCTGCGAAGAACGAAATCACCTGTGAATGTGTTCTTGAGGCTTCAGGTGTGCAAAAGCCAGGACAGTGAGTGGCACCAGGCTTCTGCAAAAAGAAAAGCTCCTTTGGGCAGCTTTATTTTTTAAGCTAAGTCTTGCCCACGTCCCATGTGGGCGGTAGAGTGGGAGTGGGAGTTCTGCGTGGAATGAACTGGCTGTGAAATAAAGCTAAAAAAAGAGGGTGGTGAAGAAACCACACTGCACAAGAGTAATTTTGAAAAGTGAGGGCAGGATGGCTCTATGACCTTAGGGGTCCAGCTTCTACACTGGATATAGACCAAGTGAGCCACTTYTAGGGAACAGAATGTTCTTCACCAAATAAGGCAGGAGGTGGGCTGTCCAAACCCAGTGGGTTACTCCCAATTCCAGAGCTACAGAGCTGTCCCATTGGTAGAGCAGGGCACAGATCTCACGCCTTGGGCAGTCTGCACACGGGAATTCCGGGATCATTCCCAAGGGGAGACCCAAGTTCTCCATGGCTCAGTACTGAGTAAAAGAAACTCAGGTGGCTTCACAGGTCATGTACCACAGCTAAGGACCAAAGAAAAGCCAAAAAGCTTTTTTGTTCAATGTTTTAGCTTTAAGGCTTAATTGACTGGTAAGGAGGCCAGGGGCCTTCCTGTTGGATGCTTAGTGAAGAAATTGACAGGAAGTGGGGAAAGTTGGTGCAGTGCTGGATTCTTTGGGGGAGTTATGTTCTATGCACAGGATTTGGAGTTTGTCACATCTTTGAGTGGACACTGGCTGCATATGGTCATGTCCACTCTTGAAAAGTCAGTTCTATACCTTCACATCAGTGAGAGACCTAGAGGCTTGTCCTGAAGTTCATCCAGTGATACTAGGGATAAAAGCTATATCCCCAGCCCTGGCATGACGGACTCCTCATGGCAGCCTGTGCTTGCTGCCCACATAGCTACCACTCTGCCACTTCACTGCTTCCCTACCCCTTCTCAGCAGGGACAGTGGGCTGGCTGCAGGGCTTGGTGGCCAGGGAGCCATGTCAGTAATGGTGGTGGGTACTCACGTCTTCGTATAAAAGGTGGATACCTATACCCGGTGAGTGGTAGGGGGTGGATACCTCTACCTGGTGAGTGGTAGCAGGGTGGACACCTCTATCCGGTGAGTGGTAGGTAGTGGACACCTCCACCTGGTGAGTGGTACATTGTGTAGTCTCTCTTTCCCTGTGATCATTAGTATCATTTTTTTTATATAGTTTTGTCCCTTTTTATTACTTTAACCCTTTTTTTCTTCTTGGTACTGGGGATTCTACTTAGGGGTACCTCACTGAGTTATATTCCCAATCCTTTAAAACATTTTTAAAAAATTTTAAAACTGGGGCTGGTGATGTGGCTCAAGCGGTATCGTGTTTGCCTAGCATGTGCGTGGCGCTGGGTTCGATCATCAGCACCACATACAAATAAAAGATGTTATGTCCACCAAAAACTAAAAAATAAATATTAAAAAAATTCTCCCTCAAAAAAAAAAAAAAAAACTTTAAAACTGGGTCTTGCTTAAGCTGCCAAGACTGGCTTCAAACCTGTGGTGCTGCTGCCTCAATCTCCTGAATCGCTCCACTCACCTGCATGGGCCACTGTGCCCAGGTAAATCTTCATGTTTGAGTTTTTAAAAAATGTTCTCTACTTTTATGCCCCAAGGCAAGTGTCTCCTGACCTCACCCTAATCCCTGCCTGCCTGCCTGCCTCTGGCTACCTCTACCCTCCCCCACCCCCATTTCTTTGGGTTTTATACTGGAGATTGAAAACCATGAGTGCTCTACTGCTGAGCTACATCCTTAGTCTTTGTATTTTTATTTGGAGACAGCAACTCAGTACATTGTCCAGGCTGATCTCAAACTTGTGCTCCTCCTGCACCAGCCTTCCATGTAGCTGAGAAATAGGTGTTGAGAGTCACAGCCAAGTCGGGATGGCGCCTGGCATTTTGCCAGAAGGAGTGGTTGGGAGGTGACGCCAGCGAGCCAATGGGATGATGG